TGTTCCTGCAAAATTAGCACTGAATGTGATTTGCTGTTCTCTGCTAGGTTGTCAGGGATCTGGCGTATTATGATTGGATTGCTCCACCACTGCGATTTACACACCTCAATATGCACTTAAAAAAGCCAGAAGTTTGCTATGAATAACCTTAAATACGATTATGTCCCTGCATACTTCTCAATAGGGAATATATACGTTTTCTTTTTTTTTGTTTGGCCCATACACTACACAAATTCCATTTATTAAAAAAAAAATAAAAAAAAAACGATTCAACGATGATTTTCATTTTTGATGGAACTGGCAAATAAACACAATTACATTGAAAGAACGTTTTTGTGCTGAAATAAATTCAATAGTGTGGTTTCCATCTAAATTAGGAGATTTTGGAATCCAAACTGAGTATAAATGTCTTTGCTTAAATGATGGATAAACATTTTATTTTGTGAAAAGACATGCACATGCACATGCACAATCAATCAATCAATCAATCAATATTTCTAGATGTACATTAAATAGAGAAGAAAATATTGTATGGAAATCTTGCTTTATTCACAAATGTTTTCATTATATTCAAATTTTTCCACATAAATTAATGATTTGGATTAAAACATGAATTTAAACTTTTTAAAAGCCCTATTTCAACATATTAAGTGCCTGGTTAAACTGGATTGTATGTACTTATGAGATTACTTGAGATGTAGTTTTTTCAACTGAAATAACACTAAAGTGACACTGTTTAGTCAGTTCGTCTGAGATCGTTTGAGAGGGAACAAGAGGAACATATTGCGATTGAAGGGAAAAGGGTCTGATTTCTGTGCGTTTTGGCATGAACTGTCATTATCAGGATATAAATATGCCCTTTTAATGGCGTGACACACATCGAGTTATTATGTAAAACCTCTCCTCCACAAAAGCTGAAGGGCCCACCTTTTTAGCTAGCGCTTGATTTTAAGCAGCTGGGGCCATGTCGAAGTGGAAGGCACCCTGTGGAGGAGCCCACGGTTTTGGATGGTACACCACTGCCTTCAGATCTAGAGTGGGGCTCTATGATTGGCACCCACCGAGCTTCAGCTGTTGTCAGAAGGCAGAGATGCCCACTAAAATGCCTTGATCTTCCAAACAACACATTCTTATGCTATATCAGAGAGCAACAGAATGAGAAGACGAGAACAGTGTGTGCAACAGATAAAGACAGCGCTGTAGGTATGTATGGCCACAGAAAGTCTGAATGAGAAAGGTTAAAATGATTAAATATTAGTATTATTTAAAAATAAAAGCAATAAAAATAAGCAGCAGAACTGTTTCCAATATTGATTTAAAAAATCGGCATATTATAATGATTTCTGAAGGATATTGGCACTGAAGACTGGAGTAATGGTTGCTGAAAATTCAGTTTTGCTTAAACCAAGTTCACACTACATGACGTTAAATGTCGGCAGATCGCTGTGTTGTTCAGACTACATGACTTGCTGTCTGTCTTGAAGCCGTTGTGGTGTTCACACTACGTGACACTACGTCAATGATCCACAACAGGGGGTCACACACTACACGAGCTGACAACTCTGTCACCCAACAACTCTATCCGGTCACCAAACCACGCTTTGAGAAGTTGAATGGGACTGACGTGCAATAACAAGTGAAACACGAGTTGTATATTTCAAATGGATGTTGGGAAGAAATTAGTACTGCAAGTTGTTTGCGTGATGATCTGTTCTGAAAAATTTCGCTCCATTTCTTGTGTCCAAACTTTTCTTAAAGCCATGTTGCTGTTGCTGTTTATCTTCCGCCGACCTCAGTCTCGAGTTGGCCGCCGGTCCAGATATTTGGCATTCTAGATATTTGTTTGGCATCGGCGAGGTGTTCAGCGACAACGCGTCAGTGATTCTCTTTGATGTGTCGTTGAGTAATTCACACATAGAGATTACGGAGCACTGATCACCCGATGATTTTCCCCCTGATCACAGCCCGACCTGTCGGCGAGCTCGTTGACTTGCAAATCAGGCTTAAATCGGGCTTAAAATCCTGTAGTGTGAACTTGGCTTTACAGATTTTTTTTTTTTCTTTGTGTTTTTGATCAAATAAATGCAGCCTTGGTGAGCATAAGAAACTTCTTTAAAAAATATTTGAATTTTTTGAAATAAAAAAATAATGTAACAACAAAAATGAATCTGTATTTATTATTTCTTTTTAATAAATATAAAAATATTTTTTGTATAATTTTTATATTTATATAATGCAAGTGGCAGTGTCTGTGCCTCGCATCTTCTACCTGCCTGTTCATACTGTGGTTGATTTCAGAATGCCAATGAATGTTTTCAGCCTTAGTTAATGCAGAGTTAGACACCGAGCCTGATATCAAATTAACCGCTCAAGTCAGGCATTTTATGAGACATTATTCATTTCAGTGTTCCGCCTCTTGTTCAGTGTGACAAGATGGTGGAATTAAAAGGGAGAAAGAAAAAGCCAGAAAGAAAAAGTCCTCACTCTGACTGATCCCATAGTCCCAATTAGATGAATAGAGTTGATAATACAGTAATGGAGATCCGCAGATTCAAGTCTTGCCATTTCAGGTCCTCCCATTAAACCTTCCAATGTAGTTAACATTGATTCTGGCTTGGCGCTGGGGAGAGTATGGACTTCATAAAGGAAGACAATAGCTCCTGAATTGGGCTCAGCTTTGACATAATTGCCTCATAATTGCGTAGCAGTGATTTGCATTCACTTTCTGGCCCTTCCCATCAGCCAATTAGATCCGCTTGTTGATTTATGTGTGTGCTGATGGGAGCTGATGGCTTTTGTCATGGTTCATATTGATGAGCGCTAAATACCTCAAGGCTTTTTTGATTTTTATGAGGGTGCAGGAGGAGAACAGGTTAATAGAGCTACAGGAACCGGATTGAACGGTGATTCAGAATCAAGCGGTTTTAGTGGTGATTAGGTTGATTGTGCTATTCTTTCACAAATATCTGTTCGGTTGTAAAATTTATTGATTATGAATGTATTTTATACGTAAACAAAATAAGTTTTTCAAAATCCCTGTTTGGACAGGACTAGTTTTCAATGACAAGTAAAACAAATTTAACTTAAATGTCTTAGAAAAGGAGTAGTGCTAAAGTTGTTTTCTTTGGTGCGCAGTGCTACAGTACTTAATTTTGACAGTCATTGATTTAACTGAGCTCTAATGAAAAGACATAAAATAAACTCTTCATCTTTTTGAAGCAAATGTATTTTTTCCTGGTGTTTAGAAGTTTCTGAAGGAGAAGCATGTACAGGTACATGCAATTATTATATGAAATTATTTACTTGAGACAAAAGTGTTATTCATTCATTCATTTATTCATCAATTCATTCGTCTCTGGAGCTATTTCGTGTTCATTTATTGTAGATGTTCATTCACTAAAATATATTTATAAGATATGTCTTTTTTTTTTTAAGTGATAAAAATATGCAATTAGTTGTGTCCCCTGCCCTTTCTTTAGAGTCAATTAAGAATACTGTAAATATTAAGAATCTCTGTAAATATTAATGTACCATTCAAAAGTTTGGGGTCGTAAATATTTTTTTATATTTTTGAAAGAAATCTCTTTCTCACCTGGTGGCAATGCTCACCCAGTGGCATTTAACTGATCAAAAAAACAGTAATATTGTGAAATATTATTACAATTACATTTTTTTTCCTGTGTTGACAAAGCTGAAGACTCCAGTCTTCATTGTCACATGATCCGTCAGAAATCATTCTAAAGCTGATTTGGTGCTCAAGAAACATTTTTAATCAGTGTTGTATATTACTGTGGAAACTGTGATCATTTTTTTTTTTTAGGATTATTTGATAAATGGAAAGTTCAAAAGAACATAATTAATCTGAAATAGAATCTTTTTGTAACATAAATGTCATAATGTCCCGCAATAAAACTATCAGGGTTTTCAAACTTAATTTCGATGCAAAGTTGCCCTTCGTAAACCGCAGTATGAGTACTCTTTACTGGGTGCTTTTCTTTCCATATTTGAATGAGAGAAAGAAAGAGGTTGCATGTGTGTGTGTGGTCATGCTCTGTGCACACTTAAATGTGTGTCAGTGTGTGTTTCTGCGAACACAGAGGTCGTATAACTTGGTATAACCGAACAGTGAAGTGGAACCACTCGCTCTGACTAGCGGTGTCACAAGAGAGCCTGCTATGCGCTTCAGCATGTGTAATTAATCATTAGAGGTGTACTGCTTAACCGCTGCCTAATACCGTCTCTCTCCCTGTGCAGATACTCACTTCTCCATTAATTACTTATAATTGCCTGTTGCTCATTTACTCTAAGATGCTAATATTCCTATTTGAGGGTGTCTACATATTTTCCCCCGATTTTTTTGCCTGCCTGCTGGATTTATGCCGTTCAGTGTGAGAGCTCTCGTAAAGGCTGATCGGAGATTAACGTCAGCGATAGAGGCCATTAACTTCAGGAGATAGATATGACTTAGCCTCATGTCACTGTCTGGTCACTGTGACTTTGAGAGGCTTCAGCTCCGTTTGCGGCCCGCTTTTGCAGCTGAACACATTTAGATGAGAAAGAGGGAAAATGAAATAGATGAACGGCATCACTTAAACTGAGATATCAGCCTCTCTCCGGATACCGTCGAGCCGCTGTTCATTCCGGAGGCCACGTCTGAGCTAATATGTCAAGAATGGACTAGGATTACAGTTCATCTGCCAAGAACGGCATCCTTATTTTAGATGTAGTACAATATAAAACTGGGATGTGCTGGGAGAATCGTAGCTCAGAAGTAGGCTTGCTCTTTTGTAATTTCTGCCCTGAAGCCCCATTCAAAGTGTGTCGTCTTCTCTTGCTTGGCTCGCCGAGTTCGATCGATTACAGTTCCGTTCGGCAGTGCGGTTTAATGAAAAATGGTAAAACAAGATAAAACCTAAAGGATATAGTTGGCACCAAACCGAGTAGCATCTTGCCCATTTGTCTCCATTATAACTCATTGGTTTTTCAACTTTTTTTGGCAGGCACTACAGTGATGACCATGACGGCTTATGACGCAGACGATCCCAACACGGACAACGCTGTATTGCGCTACATCATCGTGAGACAGCTGCCGGATAAACCTTCACCCAATATGTTCTACATCGACCCGGAAAGAGGTGACATTGTCACCGTGATATCACCCCACCAGCTCGATAGAGAGGTACATATTTTCTTTGAGTGCCTCTTTTTTATTGTTGAATGCTATGGATAAAGTAATGGCAGACTGGGCAACAGTATGTTGTTTGTTAGATTTGTATGATGTTTTTAGTCACTGGTGTACTGCAAATCTCTTTAGGTTTAGGTTTGTGATACCTAGTGCACTAACTAATGTTAACAAATAGAATCTTATTGTAAAGTCCCCCCCCCTTTTTTCCTATTCTGTTTTGAAATACTTCCTATTCATCTTTTAAGATTTCTGGCATTTAGAAGTGTATATTTGATGGGCTACAGCAAGTTTACAGTATGTTAGCGATGTTAGCGCTGGATTTACACCTCTAAGCAAACATTTGTAGCTTAAACGTACATGAGAGGGAAGCTATTCCACCACAATATATATCTTTACACTGCTGCTTCAACGTGTCAATCAGCTCAGGTCTTTTTTAGTGTCTGCAAATCAATTTTCCATATAATACAAATGGTGAATTTACAAAATGTACCGCAGATCATTCAAAAATACCCATTTGAACGTTTCAAACACTGTCAGATCTCGTAACACAGCTGGCTGTTTTCTTAAAGCTTTGTGAGTCAAACCTCTAACAGGAGGGCCGACAGAACGGAGGCGTTCTGTTCAAACCGAGCTCTACAGACAAGCAAACAAACATGAGGGGGCAAATCTGAGGGGACAAACAATAACTGTGGTGTGTTTTAATGTTTAACTATCCTCAAGACACCTTTAGAGCAAGTATATTAGAGCAGGTTCCTCGGCATATTAAAGCAGGGGTTTTAATGTTGTTAGGAGACGGGAGGTTGGATGAATGCAGGGAAGATGCTACGGTATCTTGGGGACAAGGGGTGTTAGCGGTGCATGCTAATGAGCAACTGGAGGCAGCGCTTTCCAGCTCCTAAGCAGAGCGAGACAACAGCATGATTGCTTTTTCTGTGGGGTGACGAATGAAGGAACATCAATTCGGCCCGCTGCTGGAAGAGGAATATTAGCTGTTGTCAGACACTTAGAGCATGCTTTAATTGAGGTTATACACACTTATCCACCAACATCGGCTGTGTCCGACAAGGCCATAGAAAACCCCTCAGCTGGAACAGAGCAAAGCCATCATTAAATGCATGTTTGCATGCGTTCCAGAGTGCATTTGAGTTGACATTGTAATTGAAATGTTACATGAAAGGTGTCTGAATGTAGCTGTTTATTCTGATTTCTTCAGAGAGAAACACTGGATGTTGACAAACTGCGCTCACTTTCACCGTCACTGCTGCGTCGACACCTTGTGTGACACCTCTGCACGACTCCCACGAGTCTGTGCTTCGTCGCAGTTGATCTCATATATATGACAGATGTTATACACAATGAGCTCCAGGGGATTTCAGGTGTGTTACGGAGGCAGGTGTGCGATGTTTCTTCACCAGAAATGTACTTTTGAGCTGTTTTTAAAGTTCACAAACTACACTTTTCAAAATTGCCTCCGCCCACAATGACAAAATTGTAAAACCTGTTTTGTCTCTGAACTCTCTTAAGCATTAAATCTATTCAAAATATACACTCACCAATGTGGGTTTTTTTTCTCTCCATGAAGCTGTGGATCAATTGTGGAAGATAAAGCCTGGCAGCTAATAGGTTGAGATGAGAGTCACTTTTAGACTTTCTATGGCTGCATTCATAACAATCAGCAGAGAGGGAAAGAGAACAGGAAGCCTCTAGTGAGAACAGTAGATCAGTTCTCCCTTTATGTCTTGTTGAGAGGACATTATTCTTGCTTCTCCAGAGTGATTAGTCATGCATCTATGGGTCAGTTGATAGGATTAAAACAACCTCTATTAGGTTGAACAACAGCTGCAAATCTTTGAATAATAGAATTAATGGTAAAATACTGTGATCCAAAGTGCAGCGATGAAAACCTGTAGAGGATGTAGGGTGGATGCCTTTTAAACTTCTACTTGAGTAAAAGTACAAAAGTACTTACTTTTGAAAGTACTTTAAGTATAAAAAGTAGGGGTGCTCCGATCAGGATTTTTTAGGCTGATCACCGATCGTCGATCACAGAAAGCAGTATCTGCTGATACGATCACCGATACTGATCTTTTTAAAGCCTTATTTTTATCATGTAGAATTATTTATATTAATATACTCCAATCAGGATTTTTAGACATTTATTCAGGGCTTGAATTTCATTTTTAAAAATGGAGGGAATTTCCCTCCCTCTTGTGACTCTTGTGAGAGGGGATTTTTTTATTTATTTGAGGGGTGGAGGGGAGCATTTTTTTTTTTTTTGATTTTTCAAAAATATATATTTATCTCACCTAAATGTTTGATCATGCAGTGCATTTTTGTTTTTACACTAGTTCAGTTGTTGCAAGATAGCTTACACACAGCACAAAACAGTTGCTAAAGCAAGTGGCAAAACATTTAAACTACTTTTCTTACGTTATCACAAACATTCTAGTTAACTCCCGCAAGTGCCACATTCGGTAAACTCCCACTCACTTATGAGACGCGCGATCTGCGCTGCCTCGTCTCTCATTTAAATATAGGTAAAATAGCTCCTTGTCGCAAAAAATAAAAAAAAGTCGCAGCTACAATGAGAAAGTAGCTAAATTTGGCGACAAAATCCCCAAATTGGCAACACTGGATACACTGCTTTGCGGGAAAGTGGAAGTAAGCTGACGTCACTGTGAAAAGGGCCTATTGGCTAATTTTTTTTACCAACGGAGGCACGAGAGCTCATCTCTCCCCCAGCCTCCCCCTCTCCTTCTCTATCATTAGCGGTTGTAATTACATCAGCAGATTCGGCACATTCGCGATAGAAAAGCGGCACTTTCACGTTATGGTATTACAACTGTGAAATTACAAACAAAAAATACACATTCTGAGACATGAACTGAAATGAATTGTGAATTTTATTAACATTAAATCGTCTTCCTCCCATTTTCTCCTCAAAATTATGCCTCCCCCGACGAGCCGCCACTGAAAACTGGCACCGTTTTGGAGAGCTCTAATTTTAACCCATATCATGGTGTGTGATGCAGAGCTATGAGTTTCTAATGGTGTTTGTATTTGCACTGTTCTAAACATTAATATTTTATGTGCAACAACAGCATGCTGTCTCAATGGCCTTACACACGATTTTAAATCTATTTTTTCAAACTTTATGATTGAAATGGGGATGATTGTACTGAGAATAACTTTAATCTTTTCTTCAACTGAATACTGTTTCCGTGCTGTTTTGATGTATTTTAAAGAGTTGGCAGTCAAAATTAAAACTGCTGGATGATAGATATTCTTTAAAATGTATCAATTGCGGTGTACAGCGTTTATTATGAGGGGGTAGAATCCACAGCTCAGTACTCACTACTCAATACTCATGAGTACTTTTAAATAGGCTACTCTTTTACTCTTAATCAAGTAGTTTTTTGGACAAGTACTTTTACTCTACTCACACTAAATTTTTTGGAAGGTAATGGTTCTTTCGATCTCTGCACTGCTGCGGAACGCACTGCCGGACTGCACCCATGTGCAGTGTGAACGCTTTAATCCGTTAATATGAGCATGGAAAAAAAAATACGCACCACATACGCACTGCAAATGGAGTATGTGTGTACCTGGCGTTATGTGTGTACGCTTCAAGTATGCATGAGCGCACTTGAAGCGAAGGAGAGCGCGCGAGTGCTGAATGGTTAAACACTGGCAAGAATTAAAAAGAAATGGGCAATATCTTTTAATTTAATTTAATTTAATTTTTTGTTTTGTTTTTGTTAAATTTTAAACTCATGACAGTCAATAAGTGGTATTTCAGTAGGTTGCTGAACTTGTTTGCCTGATCAACACATTTCTCACACATCATAAAAGTTGGCTTGCACATCATAAAAGTCTGGAATTCTGTTTGAAGTTTAGTTTTGAGTTTTATTTAGACTGGCTGACAGATTGCAGGCTTGCTTTGGGGGGCGGTCACTGTACGACCTCCTCAAACCAACTTCTGTGGTCAGTCTGCTATCGTGGGCTACCCACTGTGCATCTGCTCCAGGTCCTGGCAATCAGAGTCCTGCCACTAAATCTGACAGCCGATTGACAGGCAGAGTAGCCCCACCTTTGTTTCATGAGCCCAAATGACACAGTAGCAAAAGAGACATCTTAAAATCGATGCGCAGTGACAGGATTCTGGCAGTCCTCTTATGGAGTATGTCTAATCATTACAGTCCTGCTTCTGATGCTCAATCCTAGTGAGCTGTCTTTATGTCAGCTTGTCTACATAGACAGAGTTTGACATCAGAATGCTATTAAACTACGGAGTATGTCTAATCATTACAGTCCTGCTTCTGATGCTCAATCCTAGTGAGCTGTCTTTATGTCAACTTGTCTACATAGACAGAGTTTGACATCAGAATGCTATTAAACTAATGATGCCGGTAAGAATAAAAATGTTGCTTGAATCGTATATGCCTGTTTCCATCAAGGTAATTGCACCTTTTTTTTCTTTTGTTCTCAAAATTTTGACTTTTTTTAATTTTGAGATATAAACTTAGAATTCTGATGAAGAAAAAAAGTCAGATTGCATGATATAAATTCAGAATTCAGATTTTTTTTCCTCACAATTCTGTTATATATCTTGCTTTTTTTCCCTCAGAATTCTGAGTTTACATCTTGCAATTCTTTTTTATTATAATTGTTTTTTCTACCACAGAATTTTAAAAAAGGTGATTGCAAGTTTTTTTTTATTTCACAATTCTGACTTTTCTTCTTGTATTTCTGTTTTTTTTTTGTCTCCTGCCACGGAAAAGGTACTTTTTAAACTTATGATTGTGATTTTTTTACTTTCAATTGCGAGTTTATATTTCAGAATTCATACTTTTCTTCTTAGAATTGTGAGTTATAAACTCGCAATGGCAACTAAACTTCTTGCAATTCTGAGTTTATATCTCACAATTCTGAAAAACGTCTGAATTGTGAGATAAAAAGGCACTATTTATTTATTTATTTATCCATCCATCCAT